TCAGAACCAGAACCAGAACCAGAACCAGACTCAGACTCAGACTCAGACTCAGAACCAGACTCAGAACCAGAAACCAGACTCAGAACCAGAACCGGTGATCATTAGCAGCTACCTGAAACTCCGGACTGAAGCTGTAGAGGAACGTCTCTCCCGTCCCGTAGCAGTAGCTGCTGACTTTGAACGGATCGGAGGAAAACGCTCCAAAGACCTGAGGATTGATCAGATCAATATGTCAGTTTGATGGGAAAAGCTACATGACACGAATGAGTTCAAACAGGCTTAGTTTTCTTGCAAAATATAATACAATTTTGATGTTTTGTTTGTTTGTTTGTATTAGAAAAAAGCTCTTCTTGTAAATCAACATTAGAGAACGACCTGTGATGCTTTAGTGTCATGGAGATACTATAATATACCATTTTTAATCATTTATAATTTGATATTTTCTCTTTTTTAATTTATCTAAATGTTAGTTAAAGTTTTAGTAATTTAGTTGTGTCTATTTTTATTAGGTTTTGTTTTGTTTAATATGTCTATGTAGTTTTTTTAATGACCTATTTGGTTATTTTAGTACATCCAGTTAAACTAAATGAAAATGAGAAACGCTGCCTTGGAAACTAGCTGAAAAAAATATGTCCAGGTTAACTGATATTTTATTGATATTTTATTTTTATATTTTATTTCAGTTAACATTTATTTTATTTTAAATAATGATTTTTTTTTAAATGGTTTTAGCTGTAGTTTTAGTTAACTATAATAAGCAATGCCGAGGTCATGGGTTCAATTCTCATGGAATGCATGAACTGATCAAAACTAGACTTTGAATGCAATGCAAGTTGCTTTGGATAAAATCATCTGCCGAATGCATATTTGTGACCCTGGAGCACAAAACCAGTCATAAGGGTCAATTTGTCAAAATTGAGATTTATGCATCATCTGAAAGCTGAATAAATAAGCTTTCCATTGATGTATGGTTTGTTAGGATAGGACAATATTTGAAAATCTGGAATCTGAGGATGCAAAAAAATCTAAATATTGAGAAAATCATCTTTAAAGTTGTTCAAATGAAGTTCTTAGCAATGCATATTACTAATACCTCTTGCAAGCTGGTGATTCTCACATAGCCTATTAAGAACATTGCTTATGTTTCACTCAAAAATGATTGAATAAATAATAATAAATTCATATTTATTCTTAAAAAAATAGTTTGCTTTTTGCAATCACTAAGGCATTTTTTGCCTTAGAAGCTTAATGGAATTTAATACTATAGTTTAATTTTAATTAAAGTTTACATACAATGGAAAAACACTTTATTTGTGAAATTATAATATATATTATTTTGATTATTGCTGCTGTTATTTTTAATTTTATAATTATTTGGTAATTTATTTCATTGAATTGGGAAAGTAAAATGATATACAACATTTAGTGTTTGATCTAATACCTTAAATTTATGATTAAAACAAATCTAGTAGTGGAGCAAGGATAATCTAAAGAGAATCATTATTGGAAGAGTTGGAAAGTGCTTAATTTTCATGAAAATAGCCAATGCAAACTTATAAAAAAAAATACAGTGATATATAACGTAATATACCATGTATAAACCTCTAAAAAGTATTAAATATAAAATTCATATAATTTAAAATTAAATGTAGAAACATATGTATATTAGTTTGTGAAATGAAAACTTTACATTTTTATTATAAATATTGTATAATATATGTGACCCTGGAGCACAAAACATAGCATACAAAAAATTTGTAGCAATAGCCAACAATACATTGTATGGGTCACAATTATTGATTTTTCTTTTATGCCAAAAATCATTAGGATATTAAGTAAAGATCATGTTCCATGAAGATATTTAGTAAATTTCCTACCGTAAATATATCAAAACTTAATTTTTGATTAGTAATATGCATTGCTAAGAACTTCATTTGAACAACTTTAAAGATGATTTTCTCAATATTTTGATTTTTTTAGATCATACGAGCACTCACATTAACCATAACTCAGATGCAATGCATGCAAACCCACATGTGTTTGGTTGATGCAAACTGACCAAATGCATTAAATCTGACCTCAAAACCTTCTCATGTGAAAGTGCCATCAGTTCAGCGGACTCTAGAGCATTTCCTCGAAACATGCATGCTATTACTGGAAGTAAACAGTCCACGTCAGACTTCAGTTACGCAGTTCCCACTCTCCCACTGTTATTAGTGCCAGCACATCTGGAAGTGATATTAAATCTGCTTTCCAGCACACATGCGCATGAGGGAAAGTGAAAACAATCCACAATTATTCCACACTGCGTAAGAAACAGTAACTGGGGCCTTCACTGGAACTCAGCACGAGCGAAAATAGAAAAGAGCTGCTATTCTGTGCCAAAAAACCGACGTAATGCCCTGTGCATCCAAGCCTATTCTTCACAGAACAAATGGGTCATTCATACAAAACACTAAATGCACTATTAAAAACTACACTTGCAGCAGTTACAGTACATGCATTTTATTCCATTTTAATTCCACGTTCCTTCAATTCCTCAAATTACACATTTTTAAATATAAAGGTTTCAAAGAGCGTTTTACAAAGAGCCATTTTCTCAAGATCTGAGTCAATCTCAAACTAGAGTTATTTTAGTATTTCTGATATACTTTAATATTTTGATTAATATTATTAAGTTCATTAATCCTAATGATTTTTGGCATAAAAGAAAAATCTATAATTTTGACCCATACAATGTATTGTTGGCTATTGCTACAAATATCCCCCAGCGACTTAACACTGCTTTTGTGCTGCAGGGTCACATATGATAAAATGTAAGATATACTTAATTTAGCATATGTTAAATGGACTTGGCTTTCACAAAAAAGTATAATTGTTTACTTTATTTATAAATGCACATATTGAGGGTTTGACGGATGCTGCATATAACATGAATAACGCATGTGCATCTGTCTTCCAGTAAACCTGCCAGTCTTTGGATGAACGCATGAATGTAAGCGCATCTCTCCGCTGTACCTGCTTGTCCGAGTCTTTGATGACCATCAGGACGGGTCTGTCGAGCTCTCTCATCTGTCGGTATAGAGTCGTCAGGCTGGTGCCGTGCTCCGCAGTGCTGTACACCAGCTTCCAAGAGTAACCCTGAGTCCGAGCCGGGATGTGATTCATCAGCTGTGAACACACATCACACACATCGATCCATGCGCTGCACGCTTTCATCTAACACTACATCTGATCGGTGCATGCAGAATTCCGCACTTACGTGTTCCAGATGATGCTCGCTCAGAATCTGACTGTGGTCTGTTAACACTGGCAGCAGGTCATCAGATTCAGAGTCTGCGGAGCTTGCGACGCTCGGACGCCGCTTGTTCTGCTGCTTCACAGAGACGATCTGAAAGCAAACAGAGGAGATGCATCAGCTCATCCAGAAGCACATGCATGGCGTCTCTTTCTCTTAAAGCATCAGCGGTTCTTCGAAGCTCACCTCCACAAACGGCTCCTCGGATTTATTGGCATAGTATAAGATCTTAATGCTCTGCTGCATTGGCCTCATGTTGACTGCTTCTGTGTGATCTGCTGTAGCTTCTGCTGCTGTGCTCAGCTTTCTGAATGTGCTCGACAGCAGCCGTGAACAGCCTGTTTATACCGTGTTTCTCCTCCTCACGGGTCCCTCTCTCCACCCCCAGCTCACATTTCAGCTGTAGAAGACAGAAGAGGAAGCCCTGCCAAATATGGTCTGATGAGAAAAAGCGTCGCTGCTCGCTTGAGAATGCAGGAGAGGTTTCTTACCTCCAGCCACAGAGAAATATACATGCATTCATGAGATCCCTCGCTAAATAGAATTGCATTCAGTGTGCATCTGTGTTGCTTTGCCTGTTTGTTTTTGATTGGGAAAAACACTAACAATCAGTGTCATCTTATGGTTTTTATTAATGCGTTTTTGCATTTTCTGTTTTTGTTCTAAAGTTTTTGCCATTTTTATTAGTTTTTGAATCACTTTTAGTTATGTCTATATACGTTTTAGTATTTTTATTTAAGTTTTAGTGATGAAAATGAGAAATGTTGCAAACTTAAATTTTTTTTTAATGCAGTTTGATGAAAAAGCATTTAGGAGAGGGAAAGTACATTCATAAATGCATCTTTTTAATATCTCAATCTGTGAGGATTTGTTTTTCTGGCAGTGCATTATTGGAGGAACCTAAAAAAGCTGGGTCTATTGATGCTAAGTACATTTATTCTAATGATTCTCTTCAGATTTTTCAAATATTGGTCATTAAAAGAATAATCTCACACATGTATTTTGTGCACCTTTATTTTAAGTTTGCTTGAAATTGCCTTAATGTCCAGAAGATTACAGTTTGAGTTCAAAATAAACTAATAAGACATAATAACTATAAACTATAATAATATATAATACATAATATATATATATATA